CCAGGGCAGGGGGTGGCACTGGGTGGTCTTCAAGGTCCCTTCCAACACAAACCATTGTGCGATTCTATGATTTATATTGCAACCTGTGCTACAACCCTACAGGGTTGGTTATCTCCCAAATCCCCGGGCAGAACGGGCTGCTTCCCATCCTGGAAAGGGCAGCGTGGGGGCTCGGAGGGGAAATGATCCCGGTTATGGTTCCCTCTGCAGCCGCACGCTGACAGGACACCCGTCTTCTATTTCTTTTTCTTCATCACCAGGTCGGTGCTGAAGCCCAGCACTTTGCCGGACATCCAGGTTACGGATGCGGAGGCCACACCAAACACGGAGGCTCCCGGGAGCGGCACAGGTGAGCCGGGCTCGGATCCGGTGGGATTTGGCCGGGCAGTTGGGAGCGGCTGCCTCATGCTCCGGTTTGATTTGAGAAAAATACAAACCAGGTGTTGATTTGTTTGGTTTTTTTTTCTCTGGAAATCAGTGTCTCCATCTTGCTCTTCCTTAATGCCATTTCCAAAGCGCCAAGACTTAATTCATTCAATTCCGGCATGAAAATCTTAGCCCAAAACCCTTCCGAAGGGTTTTTGCTCCAGGAAGGGGCCACGGTGGGATGTGATGAAGAGGAGGTTGGAAAGAAATAAGGGGGATGGAGCAAAGAGCCTCGTGGGATCTCACAGGGAAAAGGATGTCGGCGCTTCCCCTTCCCGGCGGCTCCGTTTTTAGGGAAGAAGAATAGGTTGGGAAGTGCCGTTACCATGGGGAAGTCAACAATTCTGCAAAGTTTCTTTTTTCCCCCCTCCCTGGTTTTTCCTCTGTAGAGAGAGGGGGAAGAGCTGATCCGCCCCGCTGCTTCGTTAACCCCTTGTTTTGAGCAGGAGGCAGCGGTGAACGGGACACGAGCTGTCCCGCCGGCAATTCCCACTGGAAAAAAACCTGATTTTATGCATTTTTCTCACTCGATCGGGGCATTTTTTTGGGATGCTTTTATGGAAATACACCCTGGAGGCAGAGAAGAACCAGCTAATCCTTTCGGCTTCGCGCTGCTCATCCCCTTCCCAGTGTGGGGAGGAGCTGAGCACTTGCAAAACTCATTGAGCCATGAAACCCTTTGCCTTATCCTTGCGCCTCCAGCTTTTCCCCTTTCTCTTTTTGATCTCCCCATGGACGACACTTTTATTTCCCCCCTTTAATTAAAGCTTGCCCGGGCGATATCTGCGACGCGGCGCACCGTAGAAATAACCCAGCAGCTATTTCAGCCAACCGTATGATGTTAATCCTCGGCCAGCGCATAAGAAAGAAGTCTTTTATTACATTTTTCCCCCAAAGCCTGTAAAAATCAGTGCATAACGTGCGCGCACGGCTCCTCGTGAGTGCTTAGTCACCGTGGCCCGTAGTGCATCCGGAGCGGCGCGCACCAGAGATTTTCCTCGCCGCAGACATGCTTTGAATTAAAACGCCCGAGCTCGAGCCCGAGAGGTTCATTAAAAATGGATGACGAGCTAGTTTATAATAATCTGGACCCGGGCCAGCTTTCACGCAGAGATCTGAAGCGCTGGCCTCATTTCCCTGCTCTCATTAAAGGAAAGAAGAAAGAAAATAAATAAATAAATAGAAAGTTAAATTATGGAAAAGCGAGTAAAGTTGCTCAAGTCCCCAGGAGAAAAGGCTTTTTATCGGTAGCAGCCTGGATTTACGCAGTTAATTCTGAATTAATAGCCTCCTTCAGGAGCTTGGGTTCAAATAAAATAAACCAGTAGCTGCCGTGGGTTAAATTTGTCCCGGGAAGTTTGAAGGGCTGTTTTTTTCTGGGATGGGGACTTCTGCATCCCTCGAGGGGAATCCCAGGAGCTATTTCGCAGCAGGGAGATGCTGGGGTAGGACACCGGTGGGGTTCTCGCTTGTCCCCGGTCCTTAGCCCCCTCCTCCCACCGGGTCTTTTCCAGCCGCCAAGTCGCAGCCGGAGGAGACGCCACAGCTGATGCGGACGCGGAGCGACGTGGGGGTCCGGCGGCGGGGCAGCTCCCGCACCCCCAGCGAGCAGCGCCGCATCCGCCGTCACCGCTTCTCCATCAACGGGCACTTCTACAACCATAAGGTGAGCCCCCAGCTCGCCGAGACCTCTCCCGGTGTGTGGGTGGGGAAATCCAGGTCAGGGAGGGGGTTTAAATGGACTTTGCGCCCCGTAGACATCCGTGTTCACACCGGCGTACGGCTCCGTCACCAACGTCCGGATAAACAGCACGATGACGACCCCTCAGGTCCTCAAACTGCTGCTCAATAAATTCAAGGTATGTTAGATATCTCCCCCCATCATGCTCCTGGGTTGCTCTGCGCAGGGGATTTATATCCCGTGGATATAAAATGCAATGGCAGAGCAAAATAATGGGATTTTTTTTTTTTTTTAATTTCTGGGAAAGCCTCGGGTAGAAACGTGGACTTTAATAGTGCTTTATGTCTCCGTTCAGATTGAAAACTCGGCAGAGGAGTTTGCGCTCTACATCGTCCACACCAGCGGAGGTGAGTCTGTGAAAAAAAAAAAATAAAAAGAACCAAACCCACATTCCCCCGGTGCAGCCGTTGGGTCCGGCCGTGGCAAAACCCCGTCGTCCGCCGGGCCGACGGCCGGCGCTTTTGGCGTTGCAGAGAAGCAGAAGCTGCGAGCCAGCGATTACCCCCTCATCGCCCGCATCCTGCAGGGCCCCTGCGAGCAGGTCTCCAAGGTCTTCCTCATGGAGAAGGACCAGGTGGAAGAAGTCACCTACGACGTGAGTTTGCCGGCACGGGATGCTCGTCGCTTTCGAATGGGCTTGGGATGCAGCCGGAGCTGGGAAACTCCGGGGGGACGGCTCCGTGCCGGCGATGCAGGAATTGCTTTGCTTTGCTCCCCCATCTCCCCGCGATAACTCCCCGTCACGTAGAGAAAAACCTTGTTTTGTGCTTAAAGAGCAGCTTTAAACTCTAACCGTGGGCGAACGCCCCCAGCCCCGTTTTGCCATCCCAAATCTGATGGTGGAAGAGCAATTGCCGCGCAGCTTTTGCTGTAATGGATATTTTTTCCAGCCGGGGAAAGGGCTGCGGATGGGGAACGGCTCATTCATGCCATCTGCCGGCTCCCTCCTACCCCAGCGCTTCCCTGCTCTTAAAGCAGAGCATAAATGAAGTGCTTTCGGGGAATATTTGGGCTTAAACAGCACTCCGTGACGTGTTGGGGATGCGCAGGGCTCTCCATGTGAAGGAGCCAAGTTTTGCAGCCGGTGGGTAAAATAAAATAAACCTTAGGTGGAGTTGTTTTTCCAATTAGCCATCGCTCGTTTGCACAAGCTGGTGGTCACGCCGTGCAGAGGAAACGTGGTTTCTTTTAGGGTTTGTTGCAAAAGTTGGGGGGGTCCTTGATTTCCCTGGTTAAACCTGGGGAGAGGATGCTGCGAGGTCGCCGTCAGGCTGGCGGGGTCGGTGCATCGCCCTCTTCATCCCCCACCTCGGCGTTTCTCTCCCGCCCAGGTTGCTCAGTACATCAAATTCGAGATGCCTGTCCTCAGGAGCTTCATCCAGAAGCTGGAGGAAGAGGAGGATCGCGAAGTGAAGAAGCTCATGCGCAAGTACGCCGGGCTTGGTGCCATCAACGGGAGATGCTGAGGGTTAACACATTGTCGGGGGGTTATTTCGCTGCTGAAAATTCATTTGCGCCGCCTTGGGTGCCTGATGCATGCGTGAGCTGTTGGGTTTTGCATTGTTCCAGGGTTTTCTTGGCGCAATTTGGGTTAAAAGCGCGCCTTGATGCTGGAA